TACTACAGCCCCTGATGAAAAATGACTCATTGTGCAGTGTGAGAAGATATGTGGTAAAACATTACACTTCCCGAAATGGAACATGGTCAGAAGATGTGGGAAATCACACTAAATTCACTTTCCTGTGGACCGAGCACGCACATACTATTACAGTTCTGGCTGTCAATTCAATTGGTGCCTCTCTTGCGAATTTTAATTTAACATTCTCATGGTCTATGAGCAAAGGTAAGAAAAGGTACAGTCTAGTAAACCAGTGCCCCTTTTCATATTTACTCTTTGGAAATTCCTCCCCTTCTAAATGGTCATCCAAGAAGCCTGTGAGTCTCTGAATCTGAAAGTCTCTTTCACCTTTGTTTCTTCTTTGTCTGAAAAATAACAAAGTGGATTATATCCTGGTTATGTGATATGGTCCTTGGGTTTTCATGTGGTAGAACATGGTTGAACATGGTTGAAATGGTATTATAATAAGTGAGAATATTCTAATAAATCTGATACTTAAACCTTTTGGACCAATGGTAGAGAAGAGTTTGGAGGGAGTTAAGATGATCAATAGGCTTGTGCAGTGTTCTAGAGAACACCTTTCTGACTATATCCAACAATCACTTTTTTATATTTTAGGTAGAATCTTATTTCTCCTCAGTAGCATATATTCCCACATCTCTCTGCTCATATGACTCTTGTAACACAAAAGTCATGTGTTATATATATTGGGTTGTCAGAAAAGTCATGACATATTTTTTCCATATTTTCATTGCAAAAATGCATCATGACTTTTCCGACAACCCAATATTTGTGTAAATGTCTGCCTTCTTTTCTCTCTCCCTTTTTCCAGTAGGTTATATATTCTTCAAAGGCATTAAAAAAATTGTCATTAATTCTGATTTTAAAAATAAATTTCCTTCTTTTCCTCTCAGTAAATATCGTGCAGTCGCTCAGTGCTTATCCTTTAAACAGCAGTTATATGATTCTTTCATGGACATTATCACCCAGTGATTACAATCTGATGTATTTTATTCTTGAGTGGAAAATTCTTAGTGAAGACAATGAAATTAAATGGCTTAGAATTCCTTCATCTGTTAAAAAGTATTACATCCATGGTAAGTTTCCTGTACTTTAATATATTTCTCTTATGAATTAGTATGATACTATAGATTATTAATTCAATTAATAAGCCAGATAATTAAAACTTCAAAAATATGGACGATACTCCTACCTTAATACGTGTAATTTTGTCACCTTACCACAAACACTTAATTCTATTTCAATTGACCCTTTTCCATTTAAATATTTTACATAGTTATTATCATTTCATATCTATACCACCTTCCTTCTAATTTGTTCCTATGATATATCACAAGCATATATCTGTTTTCTCCCCAATCCCTTTGACCATAATTTTAAATGGTCATACAGCATTTTATCTCAAAATCTACTTAAATGATTTATTTAAGAATATTTATGTTGCTTCCAGCTTTACCTTTTTCTTTAAACCAANATAGTCTTACCAAATGATCTAGTATTATACTATTAGGAATTTACCCAACTGATTTGAAAACTTATGTCTGCACATACATGTCCATAGCAGCTTTATTCATAATCACTTCAAAACTGGAAGCAACCAAGGTATTCTTCTATAGGTGAGTGGATAAACAAACTATGACATACAATGGAATGTCATTCAGTGATAAAAAGAAATTGCTATAAAGCCACAGAAAGACATAGATGGATCTTAAATGCATGAGGCTTAGTGCTAGAAACTTGTCTGAAAGGGCTACATAGTGATCCCACTTATATGACGTTCTAGAAAAGGTACAGCTATAGAGATGATTAAAAGATTAGTGCTTTCTAGGGGCTTGGCTAATAAGGAAAAGTTTGAATAGGTGACGCATAGGGGAATTTTTATGGTGGCGAAACTATTCTCTATAATATTGTATGGTGTGTACATAGCACTATGTATTTGCGAAAACCCATAGAACTTTATAGCACAAAGAGCAAACCTTAATGTATGAAATTAAAAATAAATCACTTAGGAGGTTGGAGGATCCCAGGATGGAATCCAGACTGTGACAAAAGAATCTCTAACTACTACAAGTGTATGAAAAACCTCATTGAAGGAGGAGGAACAAAAAAATTCAGGCCTAAGTAGCTTTGTAAATGAGTGGATTCTTTAAAGGCAAAAGAAACGGTACAGATGCACTGGGTTCTAGTTGATGAAGATCTTTGTCATGGGGCATAGGTTAACAATTCTTGTACCACTATACATATAAACTGGAATTGAATAATTAAGGAAATGGGTGTGGATGGTGGGACCCAGATTTCTCACTGTTGGACTAGTTATAGAGGAGCAAGGGGAGAAGACCAGATGATCCATGTGGTGATGGGTTAGAGTTGAAGACATGAGTATGAACTCCTGTTTAGCTTAATATGGCCACAGATGGATTCATTTAGAACTATTTATAGGTATGTATAATACAGGGGTTGGTATACACACATATATTTCCTTGATTTATAAGCCAAGAGGGCCTTGAAGTAACAGCACTCCAGTAGAAGGAGCATACCCAGATTTGTTTCTAAACCATTCTCCAATAAAAGAACTAAGGTTCCTTGAAAAATGGCTGGTTATAGAGCTGGGGCAGGAAATACACAAGATGAGCCTAGAGCACCTTTGTAGTACCAAAAGGTAAGGAAGTTTATCATCACTTTTTTAAATTAAAGTTTATTGGGGTGACGATTGTTAGTAAAGTTACATAGGTCTCAGGTGTACAATTCTGTAATACATCATCTATATATCACATTGTGTGTTCACCATCCAGAGTCAATTCTCCTTCCATCACCATATATTTGATCCCATTTACCCTCATTTTTAATTGATAGTTACAAAAGTAAATATCTGTATATGAAAACTGACATAGATTTTTANGCTCTTACCATGCTGGTCATCTTTGCTTCTGTTTCTGCCCTTCAAAAGCCTTTCTATAATCTGCCCTTCAGATTATAGAGAACCAAGGCTTCACTCTGCAAGACTATCTCTGAACTTGGCCTAGAAATACTTAATAATAGACAGCAGAAGAGTTAGAAACTTACACATGTGGAAATGGATGGAGTGCGTATTTTTGTCTTTAATTAAAGTTCTATGTGGAACAGAGTTTACTGTTGATAATTATCATGTGTTCAGTATGGTATCTTTTGCAGGCAGAGCCAAAGCTCAATTTTTAATCAGGTCTTGCTATTAACTTGCAGGGTGACATGGACAATGTTTTGTTTTTTTATTATTATTTTAAAAATCAACCTCTGTATTTGCAAAATAGAGATAAACCGTTTCATATGTATCACATAAATTTGTAGGGCATTAAATGAGATAAGAAATGAGAAAGTTTTGAAATACAAATCTTGCTTTATAAAAATGGCTTTTAAACATTATTACTGTTGGGGCCGGCCAAGTGGCTCAGTTGGTTAAGAATTGGCTTAAAAGTGTGGGCTCTGAGCAACGGGGCTGCTGGTTTGATTCCCACATGGGCCAGGGACACTGCACCCGAGCTGAGCTGTCACTGAGCTACCAACAGGTGGCAGGCTGGCTCAGCTGGTATAACAACAAGATTGCCTGTTCGATGGTGGGCTATGCCCACCTGCAACTAAGACTGAACTCGGCACCCTGAGCTGAGCTGCCGCCCAGATGGCTCAGTGGATAGAGTGTGCGCTCTTAACAACAAGGCTGCTGGTTTGACTCCCGCATGGGATGGTGGCTACGCCCGCCCGCAATAAGATTGAACACAGCACCTTGAGCTTAGAGGCCATGAGCTGCCAACGGGAAGCCAGATGGCGACTGGTTTCCTCCAAACGAAGATTGAAAAACAACAACTTGGCTGGTCCCCTTCCCCAATTCCCCAACACTGTTCCCCTCCCCCAATTCCCCAATAAAATAAAATTTAAAAAACCACACAAAAAACCCCAAACATTATTGCTATGATATAATACTATTTTTTAAATTTCTAGTGAAACCACTGCCTCCACCCAGTGTGAAAGCTGAAATTACTGTAAAAGTTGGATTATTGAAAATATCTTGGGAAAAACCAATTTTTCCAGAGAATGATCTTCAATTCCAGATTCGTTATGGTTTAAGTGGAAAAGAAGTACAATGGAAGGTACCTTTTACCTAGAAATTTCTTTAGCTTGCTTCACTAAATGTATTTCTTATACTGTTTAAGAATTTTATTGCATAAGATTTACTTTATTGGCATAAAAGTACATCCTTTTGTATTCTGTAGGTATTTTTGTTAAATAGATTGCTCTAAGTTTAACCCTTTTAAGGAATGAAATGTCCTGCAGTCCACCATTTCCCAAAGTGAGTTTTATAGAACATTGGCCTCATAAAATGTTCCTTACAAAGAGATCATAAGGCTAAATAAGTTTAGGAATTCCTGTATTCCTGTATGTCCCTAGTGTAGAGTCACATTATATTGCATATTAAAGGTTTAGAGAGGTCCTACATTAAAGAAACATTTGTGATTTTATTTCATCCTGTTTCTCAAACTTATTTTACCAAGGAACCCTTTTTCCCTTTAACGTCTAATAATATCCTTTAGTACGCATATGTTCAATGGAATGCGTTTTGGAAGAAGCTGCTTTTATGAGAAAACCAGAATCATACCTCTAGTGGCAAGTGTGCACAGGATGACTTGCCATGTCAGTTTTCTGATGGTAGCCGGCAAAGACCTAACATATCAGGAACCCTAACTTTGTCATTAGATCACAATTTCAGCTGAAATGAATGAGACCTTTTACCTGCTTATTCAGGAGACTGAATGGCAGAGATTCTCTATAGCAGGCCCTACTAACCACTAAGTTAAAATTCTTAAAAGTTTTTATGGATAGAGGATTAGTGGACAGAGGTTAGTAACAGAGTTAAGAGAGCGAGTGGGAAGTGAAATTGTAAGTGAGCCAGTCCAAATATTGCTATGAGGAGGAAATAACTAGAGGAGCAAGACC